ATCAGAAGTAAGCGTAATTTGCTTCTAATTTTACAATTTTATCAAAATTGTTGTCGGCCCGTTATTCTTTTTATCGCACAAAGAGAAAAGCAGATCGTTCGATGCAATTGCATATGCAATCAATAGCAAAATTCATACGTTACGGAACTTTGATCGATAATTTTGTTTCAGTAAGTATCGAAAAACGAAAGTATTGTATTTTTCATTTTTTTTTCAATCAAATTTTTTAAATTTTACTGCTCCATTAAAAAATATTTCCATGAGGTAAAATTTCGTACACGAAATATGAATAAAAAAAATAATGAAAATTTGAAAGTTGATTTCACGCGTTCAAAGAGATTTTCCTATTGAAAAATAAATTGCTTTATATACATAACCTGTTATATTCCATATCTTTTTACACAGGTTTTCATTAAAAATCGGATTTTTTTAAAATCGGCTTTTATTCTCTCAGGATAACCTATGAAAACTTTTCTGACCGACGGTACGTGTAATTCCTATGCCGACTCGATTCTCGCGAGACTAATTATCGATCTATCTCGGAAACCAGTTAACGTAACGCGGCTAATCTATTCGATTATTAGGAATAATAACGGGTATATTCGATAATGTTTCCCTTCTCTGTCCTCTCGACGCCCACTTACCAAATTATTAACCAGTCGTTTCGTTTGCTCTATTTTGCTGTAGACAGAATTTGATTTTTATCTCGGTCTGTGAGAACTCCATAGCGTGCAATGAGACAATACTTCAGTGATGATACGTTCAACGTGATCACTTTCATGCTATTCTTTGTTATTATTAAATAAATCCCGAAATTAAAAATGAGAACAATTAGATACGATATTGAATGTAACATACTCGCAATTGTATCATATATAAATATGATATCTTGTTGCGTCAAAAGATACTTTCATGAATAATTTCCCTATCAGGGAAGGGAACAAGCTTAATTATTGAAAATAAATAAATTATGCAAACTCCTAGACGAAAATTTAAAAAAACAGAAATATAAATACAGAGAAATAAAATAGAAATGTGAAACGTCATTTAAAACGTTCTATATTTGAATAATTAAAAAAAAAAAAAAGAAGAAAGTGAATACATACTCGATAGCATAAAAAAATTAATACTTCAATATTTTATCCTTATCATAAATTCCGCATAGCCCTTTATACGCTTACAATACATCTCTCTCCAAACTTGTCATAAACAGTTGTTTTATTCCATATTCCGTATATTGCAATAAAGAGCACGTGAAAAAATTCTATCGTTGTAAAACCAGGTTTTGCAAAAAAAAAAAAGAAAAAATTAAAGACGTCCATTAAGAGTCTCGTGAAAACGCCATTTATATTTTCATTCTATTCTCGAGACGATCTCTGCCTCCTCCAGAACGAAGAACGAAGAAATTTAATGTTTATACCACAGGTGTAAAATGATATTTCTTTCTCGTTTCACGTTTCACGTTTTTTTCCTTCCCAAACGGAAAAAAACGTGAAAATTATTTGATCTAGGAAGAGAGAGAGGAGGCAATTGTTCGACATCTCATCCATCTCACCATCTCACCCTAATAAATTGCACTGCTCTATTTTATAAAACTAAATCAAGGTTATCTTTTTACTCGGTCAAAAAATTTCTCTCTCTCTCGCTTAAAATCGAGATCGAGAAACGAAGGGAAAAGAGAGAAAGAGAGAACACACACGTTTTTCACGAGGTGAGAGACGAAACATTACCGAAAACCGCCGTTAATCCGGTTAAACGAAGGGGATAATTCTGTTAAGGTGAGGCTGTCAACGAGACACGCACAGATCTGTGTGTATCGAGATCTCGGAATGCGACCATCGAATGGGAAATCGATTGAAATAAAAATAGTTTCGACATTGTCGACCGGTGATTGATAGGAATCGGATTAATCGACGAGTGCATCGTGGCGTGGTCGGATTGGAGAGAGGAGCATCAAGACATTCAAAGAGGACGTTCAAACGTTCGAAAAGTTTAAGTTCGAATTCGATGAAAGGTGAAGTTGGCGAATTCACGCGAGTGAAGTTGGCATTTGTTTCGGTTGCTCGTAGAAACGAGATACGCGCAACATCTGTTCCAGGGAGGGGGAAACTCTGAGAGAGAAAGAGCGTGTTTCTATGAGCAGAGGAAGAATCTGTCCAAGTTCATTGGGCGACGTTGAGAGAGCGGCCCAATGGAAAATAAGAATTGAATTTCCAATTACAAAGCGGCACGGATCGCGAGATGTTTAGCCAACTTTTTTTCCTTTTCTCTTTTCTTCCACTCCCTGTTTTCTCATCGCGAACGTATTCTATCGTTTCGCGAAACTTTTTATTTATTTCTTCGATTCGTTTCTCGAACGCGTTCGATAAAAAATTTCAATTCTTCAAATTTGTACACGTTTAGATTAATTAGATCCATTATTAATCGAAATAGAGATGATAGATTTATCCGAAAATTTCTCTAATGCATTAAACAGGTTTCTTCTTGTATGAAAGAAAGAAAGAAAAAGAAGAAGGAAAATATTGGAGTTATTCTTCCATTTTAACGCATACTTAGACATTTTTTGTTACGCGTTAACGCACAAACGAAAAAGATGGGAGGGGGGGGGAAGGAGAAGAAATTTTTTATCGCCGGATATAAACATTTCTACGCGAAACAAGATGGCAGATCGTTCCATCGTAAACTAGCACAATTTTCACAAAAAACCGAGAGATGAATTCGAAACGATGGAACAAGACGTAGCCTTATAAGACTAATAATTATTAATTAAAGAAAAAAATGAGAAAATAGTGTACGTAACAGAAAAAGGGAGATAACGATAAATTGTTTATTTCTTATAATATATACACAGTGAGAAGAGGTTGCATTTATAAGATGATGTAATAATCTCTTGATGTTCGAGTATATAAGATCTCTATATAAGAAAGAGTATTTACAACGATCAGCAATCGATTCATCGTTTATTTTAATTAACTATATTGAACTGAAAAAAAAAAAAAAATTGTTACTCGTTCAACATTCGAAAATATAAAAATATATTTCTTCCCGCGATCCTTTTTAACGCGATGATACAAAATATACTGAAACAAAAAGAAAAAAAAAAAAAAAAAAAAAAAATACAATAACTAAAATAAATCAATTGAATAAACAAATCCTATTTTTTTTGTTTTTTTTTATTAACTATTTTTCAAAAAACAACTCCGACTCGAAAATCATTTCGAAAATCGGTTCATAGGAGGAGGATCGCATATTCCTCGCAGAATGGAGGAACTAATAATAAAAATTGTTGGGCGCAAAAAGAGGTGTAGGTTGATATGCGTGTCAAGCCACGCACAAATCGTACGAGTACAAATCGTAGCACAGGGTTTCACAGAGGAATCCAATATTCTCAATACGACGACCCCACAGGAGTCATAGCTAAGGTCCCATCGGGTCCAAATCCGATCGAAGGAAGAAAGGAAGGAAGGAAGCTATTCGCCTTTATAAACGGGATACGAACAATCCTCTTGGTCACTTCCTTCAACGATCTTTTTCGATTGCTTTGTTACCATGGAATAACATCCCGTGGATTTCTATCCACAATTTTTTTCATCTATTTTGCGATTAGATTTTCGAAGATTTTTTTTTTTTTTTAAATCTCTTCGGTCAAATATCGATTTTCGAAGATTCGAGACGAGATGAAATCCTTTCGATCGAGATATTTTTAAATCTAAAAAATTTTTTAAGTTAAAATAACGGTTTTCGAAAATTGCGATTTTCATGAATTAATCATGTAAATGTGAACGCGCGTGCGAAGTTAATTGTCCTGCAGCCAGCCTCGTGTCATTAAGTTATAATTAATATTATTGTGATTAAACGCAAACAACGAATTTCCAACGAATGAACGTATATATATATATATATATCGAGTCGTTTTGTTTATTTTATTTGTCGTTAAATTTGATTGCTTCGAATGTTTGTTTGAAAAAAAAAAATTTTTACCGATCGAGCGAGCGATAATATAATTAAAGAAGATTACAAGTGAGAGTTGATTAAAATAAAAGAAAAAAGAAAAACAATCGAAAAGTCGTGTACGATCCACGGGAGTGCTAATTTTTTTATTCCCCCACACGCAACGCTGTTATCACGCGAACGATCTACATGCGTTTGATCGTTAAACTCTGGCATTAATTAGCAAAGCGCGAGAGCGCGAAACATTGCCATAGTAAGATCTCGAAACTGGTGATCGAAGATTACTCGCTTACTCTACCCTTTCCTTTCGCGTAATCGCGTTAGTTGGTGACGAGAGGCCTATCGAGATGTCCAGTGAGTCAGTGGAGCGAGGAAATTTTCGAAAAAAAAATAATATCGTTTCCGCGACACTTGGTTCGAGAAATGATTCTTGAGAAAGGAAAGAAAAATATAGAAAGAACAATATTTCTTCAAGTCTCGCGTACAAATCGTTAAAATTGATTCGTTATCATCATATTAGCGAGAATGATTAAGCAACAACTTGCAACAACTTTCCGATTCTATTTAATTCTTCTCTAATCCGTCTTATCTCCTCTTCCTGCTTTCTGCATCTGTCGCAACGAGTTATTCGACGAGTTCCTAATCTAACTGTTTTAGAAAAAAAAAAAAAAAAAAAAATATTATCTAAAAATAGGCGGTAAGCCGATTTGAAATTGTTCTGATTATTTTCATCATCTCCACGATCTTAAACTCTCGTTCCGCCGATCATAAACCTTCCCTCCCCCCTCCTCGAGAGACGCGATAATATTCGAGGTAATTGGAGGAACAGCGAGGGACAACGAAAACAAGGGAAAAAAGAAAGAGACGGAATGATAATCGGTGGATATCGGATCCTTATTCTAATTTCCTAGTTATTCGATGACTGGTAAAGTCGATCGAATCTCCCTTGTATATACGCCTCTTTAAACAATTTTCAAACTTCCCGCCAAAAAGCGGGGAAAAAAAAGAGTTTGAAAAAGAAAAGACGGAGGATTATTAAACACACTTACCTTGTAAATTGGCCAAAGGAATCTTCCCTCGAACGAAATATCTCCGTTCCGTTGGATCACGTGAAACGATGATGTTAAATGCTTAGTTCGTTGCAGCGCGCGCGAAAGAGAAAGAAAGAGAGAGAGAGAAAGAGAGAGACGAAACGGTGGAAAAGAGATACGAAGCACTTTTTCACTCGAAAAAGCAACTTCCAGGACGTCGTTCCGCGAGGAGTAGAACGAACGGATGACGGAGTGATGATGGTCGATCGTTGGTCGATCAAGGCAAGGCCAGCGTTACGTAGAACGAAAGATAACGAAAACGAGGCGCTCGGTCGGAAGGGAAGAATAATATAACAGGTGGTAACGTCGGAGTTCCTCACCGTGCAGAGTGCTAACGACGTGTGACGTGGACGGCACGGTGCGAGAGGGCTTTTATAGCCGGCCGTGCCGACTCGACTCGACTACGCTCGACACCGTTTGCCCATAGAGAGAGAGAGGAGTAGAGAGGAAAGAGAGATGGTGTTGGCCCTTACGAACCGATCTCGTCCCACCTCGCGCCCATCTTTAATCCTGATTAAAGGGGCAGATCCTGTGATTAAATATACCGTGCAATTATGAATGAAGTCGTTGAAATTTCTTTTTCTTTTTTTTTTTTTTTCCTTTCTTCTTTTTCAAGATTTATAACAAATTTTCGAATAATTAATAAAAGGAATATTATACGCGTACTCGTTGGATTTTGTTAATAATTAGGCGTATTAATATTGTACATATTTTTAATATAATTAAATTATTAACAATCACGTTAATTAAACTGATTCGTTAAGTTGATTTCTACGGCCACCGGATCGAAACTGTCCGCCGCTACATTTACGTTTATTCTCGCTTTAATCCGAATCGAGAATTACGAGCGGCGAGTGTGTGATCGAAGTAATTGAAAGTAGCGGACAGGCCGGTATTCACACGCATCTGAGAGTCATCTTTAAGAGAATAATTAAAGGTGAAACGCTTCGTATACGAGATCAATTATTCTCTTTCTTCGCGCATTTCCTAACCATTTGAAAGTAGTAACTTTTTTTCCTTACATTTATTACAAGGATTAAACAACTCCTGTCCCGCGATGACGTCCACGCCTAATTCATATTATATATAGATGGATTACGTTCAATTTTAATCTCGTAAATTTGAATTTTAATCTTTTCTTGAAGCGGCATCGTGATGAATTTATTAAATTTGACGATATCGCATATTAACAACCGATTGTCCTTGTTAAATGAAAATGCAACATCTGCTCTTACTCGCATCGAACGTTCATTTAATGAAGTCGATCAAGTTGATGAATGCTCGCGCCCCTATCGCACGGATCTTAAATCGTCGATGTTGTTAACACCGTGATTCGAAAAAGGGATTTCCTCTCGAATTACAGGTATCGGAATGTCCGATACGTCGCCGAGACGGATCGAAACGTTGCGTCGATCTGATTTTTCTTTCGAATTTTTTTTAGAAATAATTCTTTCTTTTACGAAGTGCCGAAAAAAAAAAAAAAGAAAAACGCGCGTTAACGCATTACGAATTGATGACGAGATATCCTGTTTTATATTCAACCGTCAGAGACAGCCGATGAAACGTCAAACGTTTTATTGGGTTGAATCATGAAAATAATTTCAACTACTTCGAATAGTTTTTTTTTTCTTTTTTTTTTTTTTTTTCGGAAATCTTTTCCGTAGAAAACGATTCGATACGTACGATAAAATGGGGGCATGAGATATAAAAAACCAATAAGGATGAATAATTTTTCGATTTTTTTGAGTTGAAATTAATTTTTTTTTTTTTTTATCAATTCACGAGTTATGCAAATTTATATACTTATGTGTTCTAAATTAAATAGAACAGGCAATCGAATGAACAATTTTTCGATTTTTCTGAATTGAAATTAAATATTTTTTTTTTCTTTTTTTTTTTTTTTGTCAATTCACGAGTCATGCAAATTTATATACTTATGTATTCTGAATTAAATATAACAGGCAATCGAATGAACAATTTTTCGATTTTTCTGAATTGAAATTAAATATTTTTTTTTTCTTTTTTTTTTTTTTTGTCAATTCACGAGTCATGCAAATTTATATACGTATGTATTCTGAATTAAATATATCAGGCAATCGAATGAACAATTTTTAAATTTTTCTGAATTGAAATTAAATATTTTTTTTTTCTTTTTTTTTTTTTTGTCAATTCACGATTATGCAAATTTATATACTTATGCGTATACTTATGTAGACGCAATTTCTTATTTCGTTAGGGACAGGCATCAGGGGGAGGGGATAATTCTTGCTCGAGAACATAATTAACGTAGATATTTTGAATAATTTTAGTACGAATTCACTCCATTGTAAGAACATCCACGATGAATATTCATTTCGGAACGGATTGCTTGAAATCCTCTGAACGTTTATTTTCTTTATCAACCCTCCCTTCTTTTTTCTATTCACGTTTCACGATAGAATAATTGGGCGAAAATTTCACTTAACGTCTCTTTTACAAACGCGTCTTATCGTGCTGATAGAAAAAAAAAAAAAAAAGAACGGACAACTTTAATCACTCTAATCCTTCGAGATAGTCGAAATAATAATAAATCATCTGGTTGTGTAGAATTTTTAACGTTGTAAAGGCGCACAAAAGCGAGTATTGTACGTTCGCAAAAGTCAAAATTTATTTTATTCCGATAATGAAATATCGCTTTCCAATAACGAATAGAAAATATATTATTAACTAATAAATCAATTTTATCGTAATTCTGATATGATAGTTAAGTAATAAAGATACCAAGGAGTGTAAAAAAAAAATTTTACAACAAATGTCAAACTGGATTGATTAAATAATACACGAGGATCAATTCCCAAAGATAAAATTGAATCTGATCGATGAATTAAAAATCCAAATCTTTGCATATCGGGAAGTATATCGACGAAATAACGATAACAAGAATAAAGAATTTACGCTATTCCAAAAATTTTCTTTAAGAGAATATACGAAAAGCTAATTTTCGAGATACGAAATTTTTCAGATCGAATGATCGAATCGGTCGAATTCTTCCGAATAATCGAACGAAAGAGCGCGAATAAAGTCCACTTAACACCTACGTACGGGGCGGGACCTTTGCCCATAGGCGAGTTCCATCCTAAAGCAATTAGAGTTGGTGATCGAAGTGCGACTTTGCCGGCGCTATTCCAGCCCGTCATTGCTGCTAATAGCTGCTCTTAACGTCTCCCCGGCTCTGTCAACTAATTCCCGCTAGTGGAGTAACCGTTCGACTGAGCCGACTTGGCCGCCTGTTGCCCGTCTTCTCCTTCCCCACTTTCCGTGCATCGTTTAATGGGCCCCGGACACGGGAGGAATTTCCTTTCGAAAATCGTCGGCCAAATCTCGTTTCCCGGTCGTGACGTTCCTCAACGTCAAAAGTGGACGTATACCGGGCTATTTAGCAATTAAGAAAATGGAAAATAACGATCTTACTAACGAACGTTACACGAGATATGGGTATACGCACTTTGAACGTTATTGGCCTCGGTGCTTATCGATGGACCTTCGGTCCCTGATCCCAACGATATTTAGACAAAGAGCGATTCGAAAGAAGACTCCTTTCTTAAGATTGGCTAAGATAGCTGACTCGTTATGATAAATCGTCAATCTGCTTTACAATTCTTTGCCTAGGATCCACAGGTGGAAAGATTAGGAGATAACCGAATGATCCTTTACGCTATTCTACTCTCTTTTTCCTTTTCTTTCTTTTTTCTTTTTTCTTTTTCTTTTTCAAATTCGATGGAATTAATCGACACTTATCCAAGTCAATGTTGCGTTCAAGTATCGTGTGTAAACGAAAATTGCAATCTCGCCTTGCTTACTTCTGTACACAATCCTAACCTTAATCTTGATCAAGCGTAAATCAATGCGCGAATTCGTTCTAATCGAAGTTGGTCCTACTTGGAGCTCAGCCGTTCGAACGATATGTACGGGTTTATGATTCTCTATGATTTCTCTTGATCTTGGGTCAAATGGAGATATTCCGTTTGAATTATCCGCCATTGAGTCTATACGTGAAAGTTTCAGTTTTTCGAATCATTGTAAACTTCTGTGACGATTCTCTCTTTCGAAAATATCTTAGATACGTGAATTATGATTATTTTCAATATTATTGACGTTCATTATTAATTCTTAATTAATATTACACCGTTATGAGAATCCTTGAATGTTGTAAATGTTGCAAGTATTATTATAATTTCTCTCTAGAGTATGGAGTTGATTAATTAATTACTAAAAGAAATAGTTTTCTGCGGATTATTAAAAAAGGCTGTTAACTAATCTAAATTAATCTTGCTCAAATTAATTGATGATTCATTCAAAATTTTATCATATTATTAGTTTAATTATAGAAAAAGGAATAAATGATAGACAAATTGAAAGAATATAATTAAAAAAATTAACGAAAGCTTGAACTTTAAGATTATTTTAAATTACTCCAAAAACTAACTTTAATAAAATTGAAATGTTCTCTGAGATAAATTCCGAGTATTTCATCCCGAGTAATTGAAATTATTAACTTGAGAGTGAGATTCGTCAGAAATCGAGATATATTCGTATTAAAATTATAGGCTTGAAGAAAAAAAAATGGTGAGAAAAATAGTTAAACCTGTGACGAGTAATCGTGAAAGAATTTTCTGGAATTTACACGATAGGTTTAATCGAATCATTGGAAATTATTCAAGCACGAACGCAACCTCCCGAGTTATGACGTATGTATATGTATGTATATATATATATATATATATATATATATATATGTACGTATATACTTGCATATCTAGCCATGCGCATTTACAAATAGATCCAATTGAAGCACGAACGAAAGAAATATATAGTTATAACTTCGATCTCTTTTTTCCAACGAGAGGAATCATATTATTATTAAATTTCAAGTTTCGATTAATTAATATAGTTGAAATATAGTTGAAATATAATTGAATATAGTTGAATAAATCCGCGTATATCCTTACCTCGTGCAATTTTATCCTTATTCGCGCTTTTCCATAGAACTCCGTCGGAAGAACCTCGAAACAAAAGGGATCAATCATTTGACTTGTTCGATTTCGAGGCGAGAATTTTCTTCTTTGGCAGAAGCATAAAGTGTCTCGTACGTTTGCGTCCATGCTTTGGAAATAATACAACGAAAAGTTAATGCTGATCGTTGATCGATTATTGTCAAAAAAATTAGGTTATGTACGCGTATATTCACGAATTAATATGTATTATAATTCTAACAGGTAACGATATATAATTTTAGTTAAAATGTTTGTAATTAACCTTGAATCGAGAACATA